ACAGACCTATATGGTCATGTCGTCTAATCACAAATACCACTTTTCACCTGCGAATAAATCTAGAAATTTACAGAGACCATTTTTTTTTCTTCTAAATTGTGGTATGTTAATAAAGATGTTTTTCTTAATTTACAACATACTCATGTTAGATGGAACACAAAGACAAAGACAAAATTTTGTTTACAAAAAATCCCAACATATAGGTAAAACAGTTTTAGGTTCTTCTCTGGAACTCTAGGTAGGGACATATACAAGTAGGCTTTCAGATTAGCTTCCTTGAACATTAAATACATTCTAAGATTATCCCCCTTGATCACTCAGTATACCAGTTCACTCCAAGATTTTCTCCTAACAATAATCTGAGATTATTTCCCTTGAATACTCAGTAAACCAGTTCACTCCAACATTTCCCCTAAAAAATAATCTGAGATTATCCCCATCGAACAGTAACCAAACTGACGTTATCCCCCTTAAACTGTATTAACACTATAGGATTGTCTCCCTTGGAAAAGTAAACACCCTTTGAACAGCAAACATAATGAGTTTGTCCTTTTAACAATAAACAAACTGAAAATATTCTCCCTTGAACAATAAATTCAATATGAGATTATCCCCTAGAACAGTAAACACATTCAGATTATCCTCCCTGAATGGTATCTGCACTCTGGGATTATCTCCCTTGAACAGACAAAAGATGCTAATACAATGAAGACAGGTAAAATGTAGATAAATTAAGCAAAATTCTATAAGAAAGTGCTCCACGTACATGAAATATGCATTATATATGTGCATTAGCTTTCAAATATTTCAATTGTTCCTGCTAACATGAAACTTCAATAATGACCAAACATGATTCCTGAATAGTAATGACAAAATGACATAACAAAAAAGAAAAAAGAAAATAGAAAAAAAAAAGTTATCCATAACAAATTTATCTACCAATTTTTATACAGACACTAAAGCATGCCTAAAATGCATAAAAATGCTACAGAACAGGAAAACTAACCAAGTTTATGTAAGATTGCATGTGCTTGCTGCTGTTTTAAAATCATAAACAAGCATGACCTGAAGCCAATTACTTCTAAGGTTGGCATATTTTATCTGATATGTCCAAGGTCTCCAGGGATCAACCTTGTTGTGGCCAATGTGTGTTAGTCTCCCATCAAAATCTTATTATAATGTAGACAATATAGGTATATCTAATATTTGTGTGTGTGAGCGTGCCAGAAGATCTATGATAAAACAGCATGTGTGGCGATATTTTACCTACATCTTCAACTCCATCCTTCTTTAATAACAATGTATATATACCAACTGTCTACCATGTAACAGACATCACGGCACGCAATGGCAAAAAGTCTGAACAAATAAAGTGTCCAATACTAATCAACCTCCAATAGGTACATATACAGTCTTCATCACTGCGTTCTTACTTCAAGACATCAACATCAGAAACAGCCAACAATTTATCTGAATAAGAATTTACATCTTATGGTAACTTTCCTTGTAATAACTTTTATTCTTTTCCCTTGAGACTAACATTTCCTTGATATTTTCATCCTATGGAACAAAGACCCTAAACTATTGCTGTATTATTTCTGTAACCTGGTGTGTCTTATCTATACTGGAATTGTCTGTAAGCTGACCCCATAAGAACCCAGCACAGCCGTCATGGACTTAGCCATTCCTACAAACACTACAGGGTTCAAAAGATGACCCCACATCACCCCAAACATGAGAGGGTCAAGAGTCGTCCATCATAATTAAGACCCAAACACTAACTCGAACCATTCCTGCATACTGGTCTGCTCTAACCTTAAAGGAAGCTGTCCGTCAGATAACATTAGATGAATATTGAACATCCCTCTGGTCACATGATAGGTGCACCATGTCGACAGCTCCATAAAATCACTACTCAGGTTCAAACTTGGCGTTACCATGCAAGTTCTAAAAGCTCCCTGGGTCCATTCTAGCATTACAAATTAAAGGCACAAGAACATGTGCCACACCGCCATGCCCTTACAGGGCGCCGTACCAGACATATTGATCAACAACTTCCAATGACTAGTTAGTTTGCAGCCCAGGTCTATATTTATCGCAGATAATATGGGCCACATCAGACTTATCCAATTAATAAACTGTACACCAGTTTAATATTCTATGAAAAGTATCAGTTTATTCATTGGGATACAAACTATGAAAGCAACGATTTCTCATATGTTAAAAACAATACTTAATATCTTCACAAGAAAGCTAATCCAGGATTTCCACGAGGCAATTGTTCTTGCATGAAAAAGGGAACTTAAGACACAAAACAGATCAAACCAAGGAGAAATTATTCAAAGTATTCTGCCAAGAAATCAATTTCAGTAATAAAATATGAGTGGTTCTGTGCCTTAATATCTTTTTGTCCCTATATAGCTATGTATATTAAGTTCTGTTTTATAAAAACTGTATTCATCAAATGCAATGAGAATGGCGCTTACGCATTATAACGATTCCCAATCGAGAAATGAAAGTAAAATACAATTTCAGTTTCTGCCTGGCTTTGTCAGGATTAACTAACAATAGAGCCCTCACAATGTTAGCACGAAAGATGGAATTTGAAAGTGAAATATCTCTTCTGTTCTGCTGAGATTCAGCTTAAAATTGATACACCGAACAGATTTTAATGAAAATAAAATTGATACATCTAACAGGTTTTAATGAAAATAAAACTGATACACTGAACAGGTTTTATTGAAGGTAAAAATGATACACCGAACAGGTTTTATTGAAGGTAAAACTGATACACCAAACAGGTTTTACTGAAGGTAAAATTGATACACCGAACAGGTTTTATTGAAGATAAAATTGATACATCTAACAGGTTTTACTGAAGGTAAAATTGATACACCAAACAGGTTTTACTGAAGGTAAAATTGATACATCTAACAGGTTTTACTGAAGGTAAAATTGATACACCATACAGGTTTTACTGAAGATAAAATTGATACATCTAACAGGTTTTACTGAAGATAAAATTGATACATCTAACAGGTTTTACTGAAGGTAAAATTGATACACCAAACAGGTTTTACTGAAGATAAAATTGATACACCAAACAGGTTTTACTGAAGGTAAAATTGATACATCTAACAGGTTTAACTGAAGATAAAATTGATACATCTAACAGGTTTTACTGAAGATAAAATTGATACACCAACCAGGTAAACACATTTGGATACTCCAGTTTAGAATATTTCAATCAAACAAAACTTCACATTTTGTGAAGAATCTTTCAAACCTTATCCATTTATAAACCAGTTACATAGTTAACATGTTCATAATGAACAGCAATCTCCAAGAGAGATTCTGTGATATATGTTATAATTTATTAGTGACATGGTGACTGTCACATGTTCAATGCCATAGTTTACTGAACGGATTGGTGGCAATAAATGATCATACATACATACATACTGTATATATATATACATGTATTATGTAATACTTCAATTTTCCTTCCCATTCCGGCTAATTTTAAGGATTGATTTCATTAATAAAACTAAAAATTCTCATGAAGAGTAAATATATAGTGCACTTATAAGGACTTGAAGCACAGCTAACACTGGAGATTTTTACTTCTAGTCTGTTGACACTAAAAAAGACACCAAAATATCAATAGCCAATTGTCTTTTACAGTTTAAATATTCAACATTGACAAGCACTTGGAAACAATGCTCCTCCCCATTATAAGACTGGGCAGGAGACTGGTGTTAATATTGACAGAGCCCAGAGTAAATACTTTATCTCCTGATTAAAGTGTGTTAACTTGTCCACCTGTGAATCTATGACCACTCAAGTAGCACCAGTGTGGTCGTAAATAGGTCTAGAAGGGTGATAGGACTAAATTGGAGGGTGATATAACAAAGCAAACAGACTGGATCTTAGGACACTATCGGGACACTAGAGTTTGACACTTGAAACACATCATTAAAGGAAAGAAAATGGACTAGCAGACCTCAGAAACGTGACAAACCAAATAGGAGAAACTGGTCTTTGAAAAGTGTGCCTAATTACTTGATGCACGCATTCCTTTACAGAAACTCTGTTGTAGCATAATTAAAACCACTAGTTTGTGTACTGTGTTATTTAATCTTCATACAGCATGTTACAGAAATTTATTTTTGACTCAAACAAATAAAGAAAAAAATTACATAAAGTGTAAAGAAAAAAATTATACAAAGTTTAATTCTATTGATAAATTCACTTTTTTTCATACACAATCTAAAAGAAATACATGTGGTTTGATCACAATTGTTTTAAAATGCTTTTATTTGAGCTCCAAGACTTGTGAGAGGGAGGGTCAGGAGTTTCCTGAACTTCAGTGACTGATCTCTGGCTCCTAAACACAGTTCTCACCTGAACCACCACAGCTGATTACATCAAAAATAAAGACAGTGTTACTGTTTCAGTCACACAACAAGTCTTTAAACAGAGGAATATATATATAGTATAGGCTCAATGGTATAGAGTTTGTCGGTCCCTAACACAGTAGATCTACTAATATTCACATCTTTGTGGCTGGCATACCTGCCAGGTGGAGGTCACTTATACAGGTGAAAAGCATCACTTTTTTAGGTAGGTTTACACGGTGATCCCACACACACAGTCCGCTGAAGGCAAATACCGATTTAAAGGCCTTTAATTTCAGGCCAATCGATCTGCTTATGATTTCGACAATTTGTCTAACACATGTGACATGAATTTCTCCAATCTTAAAATCATCTATTCAATAGCATAGCAATAACAGAAATTAACCAGTTTTAAGAAGCTTTTCAGAAATGGATATAAAAATAAATAGACACAAAAAAAAACAGATAAAAATAAAAAGCAACACAGAAATGCACTCAAGATCAGGTAATCAATCTGTTTTTTGTTATGAGTCATGCTCTTTTATGAAGATATTTGTCATTAAGGCTTTTGCACTTATTTATGAGATTGGAAATGTAACTTACAATTTTTCTAGTTTCTGCAGGCCTTCAAATGCCCCTGCCTCTATCAAACTGATCTGGTTGTTGCTTAGGTCCCTGCAAAAACAAAAGAAAATTCACAACTTTATATGATGATACAAAACTACTTTTTCATAAAGAAAAAAGAACAAGAAATAATTAGAACTGTAAATATTTTGATGTCACAAAATAAAGAAAAGGGTGATGTTTGACACTGAGTTAAAATTGTTTATTATTTTGTTGAAGCCTGATCCATACATTAAGGACACCCATACTGTAAATATTCCTGGGGGATTTAATTTCAGAGTAAACATAACATGAATTTCTCAGGCAAATATTTTTACAGTAATTTGAGATCTCAGAAAATCTGTTATATATGCCTGTATACAATGTTACCAAAGTTTAGGGACATACATTCCCTGTCTACTGCTGAAGGGGGTTTTGTGTAAAATTTAATCTCATGAACTAGCCTAACATAGGATAACCACAATAGATCTGTCTCACAAAATCAAACAACACAACAATAATTACTAATTAACTGATATAGTCACACTTTGATCCTTTCTACTCATGACAGTTGACATTAACTCTGTAACAAATAGAAGATGGAATATTATATTGATCCAGCTGAATTCCATTTAGAACTAAAAGGGCATTCCGGATCCAGAATTAAGATAACTACCATATAGATGGTTAAATAAGTCATTCTACAAGCATAATACCCATTATGGAATTAATAAATTGAGTGGAAAATAAAATGGTTTAATAATCCATTTTTATTTTGTTAGGGAAATGACAGAAACAACTATGTTTACAGCGCTGATAAAAGAAAAAACACACAATATGTGTGCATTAATGATATCTATCGAGGAAAGACAGATATGTGTCATATTATTGGTGAGATAGGAATCACCTAAATTGGTACAAATATGATTATAGCAAATAAAAACTTGTACAGAAAACATAAATCACAATAAAACACGACAGCTTAACAGTGAACAGCAGGATTTTATATTCAGAAGCCAACATGTTTATTCATGGACTCAATTATCGTCACACTTTGGTGTAAGAAGTAACATTCAAGTGGTATCAGGATTCTGTTTTGTCTAGTGTTAAGGAGGCACACCCCAGTACATAGTGAGACTGAGAGGTTAAGGTGTATGACAAAATCTACAGACAGATCTGTTATTACATAATTGCTAATTCCTGGCATTTTGGTCATTGTGTGTAAATGTAATACTGTCATTTTCATCTTCCTGGCGCCAGAGGCAACCACTGTACATGGACCAATGGTTAAGTACATTGGAACGTTTAATCTGTGAGTGTTACACTTCTGATCCAGAAGACAGACCCCCTATTTTCTCTAACAAACTTGTTGATATACTTCCAATCAACATTAAGATTTTCACACACAAATTTTCAACACTATTTATAAACATGGCATGTTTACCTTAATTCAATAAAAACATATCCACCATTAGTACGAGAATGTCTATAGATAAATATATATATATCTATTGACCCATAATATACATATCATATCATAATCCAGCCAAAACTAAATCAATGATATAACACCTCTCACTGGCTATAGTGACACGGCTGAGTTATCTCCCCTGATAAGATGCCTCTATTGAATATACTGGTTCAATTCTACATGTGCAGTTTTACATGTATACTTACATATGCCTCCATCACTGGATATATTACTTACAATATAACTTTCACTGACAGTTTGTAAGACAACAATTAAAATCCACACTTTTTAACGAAACATGTAATTTTTTTTATCAAAATGATACACTATCATCATTATCATTAGTTTGCAACAACAAAAAGAAATAAAAAAAATGTGATGTTTGTACAAAAAAAATTTTTTTCAAATGTTATACTGAAACAACCATTGTTACAAAAGTATAATACTATCTGTATATAAACTCATAAATTTATTTTATAAATTTTCAAAAAGACAATAACAATCCTTAATAAAGGTATCCTAGGCCATCACACAGCAGATGTACGTCTTTCTAAAGTACATGTTAGGTGATTTAATGTATTCTCACACATCTGATAGTTCCATATAATATAAATCTGAAATGAGAATCATATCCTCCTCCCCCTATTAACAATATGCTTGACTATTTCAACACATCTGTGGAACAGTTTAATGGTGAAAAAGGGATGATGGCTTTTTCAATCTTCTGCATTTTTATTTTCCTAACCATTATATCACTTTATTTCCTTGACAACAGCTGTAATGAATATTGATGTGCTCAACATGTGACAGTTTGAGAAATGTTGATTTCTCTGGAACGCAATACACACATCATGTTTGAGCATGCAACCATAATCAACATTTCGATGACAATTTTTTTTTATATCCAGGATCTCAAAGATAATTACTCTAAACGCTTCATCCAAGTGTCTCCAAAATTATCTCAGAATATTTGGAATTCCATCAAATAAAAAAGAGTCATCATCCTAGCATTTTACACTAAATGTTCTATACATTTCTGACAAAACTTCTTCATGTGAATAAGTAACATTATACTGAGAATTGTAAATCTTTACCTAATCATATGAACATCACATAGAATACTGAATATTAATTAAGACAGTGAATTTCAACCTTGATCTGATGAAAGGATCTTAGATTTGCAAGTAACCTGAAAATAAGTGACTGGAAATAAAAATCACCAAAAAGTCGCTCCATGATGTCTATCTTTGAACCACAATGTGACAAGTCAGTTGATTAAAGCTCATACAGCACCTTCATGGTTATAGCTGTAATTATTTTTATATACATTTTATTTCAAAATGAATTATCTGGAAAGTCAGATATCAGAAATATTAATTTCCTATTCATATCTCAATTAATTTCAATATGAAAGAAAAAGTAGATAATTAAAAGTTCTGACACTAAAATATTTCAAATATTTAGGCTCACTTGGAAACAACCGACAAGCAGTGATACTTAACAGCACCTAATGGAGATTTCTGACATCTGCCTATGCCATCTGAGGCTTTGATTTATCAGGAGTTCAAGACTCCATAAAAACATGACAGTCTGTGATCAGCAGGCAAGTAATTGAATCATAAACTCTCAGAAATCAATAAGCTACAAAGAAAAGTAACAATGCCATCATTACACAAAAGCAGACATATTCACACACAATAGGAGGTGTGTAGAAATTATTTACAGGCGTGAATTTCAACAGGTGTTCCATCCTGGACGTTAGGAAGGCACACTGCTCTATCAACAGAGCTATTGTGGTTCCATGTATCAAAGAAATCTCAGATTGTAATTAATCTGACACAGATGCTTCTTATGATCTAACCTGACTATAAACTGACTGATAATGTTGTCAGATGATTTAAACTACTGGTTCCGGTAATCACAGGTAATCTGTAAACCTGATGACAAACTAGGTTATCACAAACCTGGTGATGACAGACCAGGTAACCACAAGTAATCAGACCAAATTATCATTAACCAGGTAATCAGTCCTGGTGATGACATTAACCAGGTAATCAGTCCTGGTGATGATAGACCAGGTAATCAGTCCTGGTGATGGATGACAGACCAGGTGATGATATTAACCAGGTAATCAGTCCTGGTGATGACAGACCAGGTGATGGTATTAACCAGGTAATCAGTCCTGGTGATGACAGACCAGGTGATGATATTAACCAGGTAATCAGTCCTGGTGATGACAGATCAGGTAATGATATTAACCAGGTAATCAGTCCTGGTGATGACAGATCAGGTAATGATATTAACCAGGTAATCAGTCCTGGTGATGACAGACCAGGTAATGATATTAACCAGGTAATCAGTCCTGGTGATGACAGACCAGGTGATGATATTAACCAGGTAATCAGTCCTGGTGATGACAGAACAGGTGATGATATTTACCAGGTAATCAGTCCTGGTGATGACAGATCAGGTAATGATATTAACCAGGTAATCAGTCCTGGTGATGACAGACCAGGTGATGATATTAACCGGGAAATCAGTCCTGGTGATGACAGATCAGGTAATAATATTAACCAGGTAATCAGTCCTGGTGATGACAGACCAGGTAATGATATTAACCAGGTAATCAGTCCTGGTGATGACAGACCAGGTGATCAAATTCACCAGGTAATCAGTCCTGGTGATGACAGACCAGGTGATGATATTAACCAGGTAATCAGTCCTGGTGATGACAGACCAGGTGATCAAATTCACCAGCTAATCAGTCCTGGTGTTGACAGAACAGGTGATGATATTAACTAGGTAATCAGTCTAGGTGATGACAGATCAGGTGATGATATTAACCAGGTTATCAGTCCTGGTGATGACAGACCAGGTGATCAAATTCACCAGGTAATCAGTCCTGGTGATGATAGACCAGGTGATGATATTAACCAGGTAATCAGTCCTGGTGATGACAGACCAGGTGATATTAACTAGGTAATCAGTCTAGGTGATGACAGATCAGGTGATGATATTAACCAGGTTATCAGTCCTGGTGATGACAGACCAGGTGATCAAATTCACCAGGTAATCAGTCCTGGTGATGACAGACCAGGTGATGATATTAACCAGGTAATCAGTCTAGGTGATGACAGACCAGGTGATCAAATTCACCAGGTAATCAGTCCTGGTGTTGACAGAACAGGTGATGATATTAACTAGGTAATCAGTCTAGGTGATGACAGATCAGGTGATGATATTAACCAGGTTATCAGTCCTGGTGATGACAGACCAGGTGATCAAATTCACCAGGTAATCAGTCCTGGTGATGATAGACCAGGTGATCAAATTCACCAGGTTATCTGTCTCGGTAATGCCAGACCCTTACTCGGTGATTATTAGAATCATAACTCGATGTTAAGATGCCTAATGGTCCAATTCATCAAGGAAATGATATCAGGCCCATATCTTCAAAGACAAATCTGCATCATAAACAAAATTTTGTTTATCCCTTTTTTTCTAAAACCAAAACTGTCATACATAAAAGTGTCAATAGCAGTTGTTTAATACAGTAGAAAACTCATGATGAACATGTTCCTCAATAATGTAACCGCTGGTG